AAAAAAAAAGAAGTAAATAGCGGCTGGAGATACAGCTCAGTGGCACAAGACCTGCCTGGCAAGCTCAAGGTCCTGAGTAAGATTCCAGGTACCAAAAAAGAGGAAGTAAATGGTGGCATAGGGGTGTGGTGGCATGCCCCTATAGTCCCAGCAATCAGGAGGATGAGCTCTTGGGGAAGACTGACCTAGAGAGATCCAGTTGTGCTGGGAACATCAGATCTTGTGTGAAGCATCTTTTTGGCAGCTTCTCTCTACTCCCAAGTACCCAATAAGGTGATGTGATCTCCAGAAAAAAAGAAACTTAGAGGAGGATGAGGCAGGAGGATCTGTGAGTTCAAAGCCAGCCTGGGCTGCATAGTTCAAGGCCAGAGTGAACTGCATAGGTAGTAAGACCTTGTAAATAAATACTTGGTAAATTTTAGGAGACAAACTCATTCAACCAGCTAATTCGTTTTTATACAAAAAACATCTGTTGAAAAGTATAGGAAAACATCAACAAGACCATTTCATAAGTGCAGTCTGTTCAAAGTTTAGATGATACCATATAATTAGCAGAATCTTCTAAACCATGGTTATGTGATTCCATAAGTCTTGTAAGATTACCAAACCTACAGAAGTCCTACTTTGGATTAACTGAGTATTTAGTGAGATGAAACAGTGTGCTTTAGATCCTACTGAGTTGTCATCTCAGGCTTAGTAAGCACCTGCTGGGGCCTTTGAAGAAGTCCTGACAAAGCTGCCTTGTGTGTGCCTTCCAGGGCTGCAGGCAGCGCAGCTTGACTCAGGTCTCTGGAGCCCCTGAGGGGCCCGAACCTACACAGCACTTCCATTCTGAACCCCAAACTAAAATTCCAAGTATTTTTTCTTGGTTTGGTTTGGTTTTATCTTGGGGTTGTTTTACTTTGTTTTGATTTGGTTGTTTTGATGGGGGGGGGTGCTTTTGTTTTGGTTTTTAGCTATTAAAGTATTCATTATACCATGATTTTAAGTAAGTTAGACCCCCAGCCTGCCATGCTGGCCCCACCCCGAGGGCACTCTGAGACTGGGCTTGGTGGCCACACCTATAATCCCAGTACTTGGGAGGCTGAAAAACAGGAGGATCACAAGTCCAGTCTGAAAAAAAAAAAAAGTCCAGTCTGTAGAGTGAGACTCTGTAGACCCTTTACTAAATACACAATATTAAATAAATAA